AAGAAAGAAAGAATTACATTTATCAGTCTATAACCGCTTTTATTAGTATTTTTATTATTCGTTATTATTTTTATTATTTTTAGTATTAATTAGTCTGTAAATTGAAGAATGGACATGACGTAATGACAGTATTATAACGAAGAATTGTTCGTTTCAAGGAACGGCCGAAGTGCACATTATTTAATAGATTGTCCGGAAAGAGTTATCTGGCAATATTACCCGGAATGAAGACGTTCAATTCTACGTACGCAATACGGATTGTTATGTGCAACGACTTTCCGAGAAACGTACGACGTAAGTGTCATTACCACTCGGCTGTCCATATGTCGAAGGGATACAGTGGCTTATTTACCGGAGGGATAGAGGTACGAGGGATATATCTACCTCTTGGGTTTCTTTTTTTTTTTTTTTATATGTATTTTTCAATGTTGTAGTATCACTTTTGCCTTTTATGATCAACTAATTTTTTAAAAGTATAACAGGAGTAAACAATGTATCCCTATTTTATTTATTTAAAAATGACACAGTAAAAGTGACTTGTACATAACCACCCTTCCCTATAGGAAAACCTTATTTCACTGCGAACACTGACCAGCGCATGTTTTCAGTCCGAGAGGTGCACGATATTTACTGTTCATGATTCCTGGTTCGGTAGTTATTTTATTTTGTTTAAAATTACGTCTGTAAGAATCGATTTTATAAGCCGTAAAAACCATATAACATAGTTTTTCCGACAATGGGATACCACGTTCATTACGCCGTCGTTATGGTAGTTCTAACGGGATAATATAAACGACAACCCATGGCTGTCTTTTATACGTTTGTTTTTAAATTCTTTGTTGCGAGCTCAAGTCGATTTGACAATAAAATAGGGCCTTGACTAAAGAGACACTATCGGAATAAGGACTCCGTGTGTGAGAACCTCCTGCTGCTCACACTTTGTGCGTACGCCCACTACTTCGGGTACCTTGAAATGACGCGTTGCATTGTGAAAGACCTGAAGTGATTAGTCCTATAAAAAATAAAGAATAGTTTACTTTTTTAAAAAAAAATTGTCCTATACAATTTGACCAACCAGTAGCACCCGACTCTTAAGTACAACAATTTGGTGCTATTGTATCAGTCAGGGGTTGCACATACACGTCGCCTTCAATATAATTGCGGTATAAAATATTCGAGCTGGTATAATTCTGGTATAATCAAACAGATCAATGTCGTTTGTGCATAATACAGATACGTATAGGTGCAATAATTGTTATGCACGGTTTGGGTCAGTTCATCAAGTTAGAAACATTTACACGGCTGAGCATCACATTATTACCGAACATAATAATAATAATAATAATAATATGCAATGACTTATTTTCAAATTTTTTATATATAAAATGTATATAAATATAAAATAAATATAATATATATAATATAAAAGGTAGATGTTTTTTTTTTTTTGACAGTTCATCATTAATTTTTTCAGTTGTTATTAAGCAGTTTTTATTTATTGATAACAACGTTAACTGTTGACCTTTTTTCTTCTGAGGAGCTTTGAAACCATAGACCTCTTCCTCTAGAAAATATGCCACTGATAATATGTATATTGTAATACAGGTGCAAGTGTTAAATTGTAATATTATACTTTTATTACTGTCGACTTATTATCGGTAACGGAGCGGATGGCTAATTATTTACTCGTTCTTTATACAATAAGTGTATTATTACATCATTCGATTATTGTAAATATTATTACGGACTTTGCCAATTCGATAATGCAGCTAATAAATGTACATAATCATCAAAATTTCAAGTACACAGTTTGAAACATGACAGGAACGTGTGTGCGCCGCGCGGATGACCTTTTGTCAATAATCATACACAAAACCAAGTTTCGTTTGGAGTTGTTTTAACCTGCAGCTTCTTGCCGCGATATTATTTTATTAATTTTATGTATTTACATCATATGAATATCGTCCGAATGAGTTACGGTCAACCATTATTCCGTCACTTGTGCAAATTGTTTGGCCTACAGTTACGTACCAGCCTAGTGGTCTGGGGCAGACGATGTATTGGACATACGGCAATAATATTAAATTATCTGTTTTAAAAGCCAAACAGTAGAGCTAATGAACTGTACAAAGACGGTAATAATATTGATAATAATGTGATAAATAAATATGTTTCTTTGAAAAAAAAAAATTATGAAAGAATTACATTATTACATGTTAGATTTGTGATATTAACCTGTTAAAATGTTGTATAAGACTTGAAAGTAATTTACATTTTTTTTTTTTTTTTACTTTAAATTATCACTTGTAATATCAATAAGTATAATGTCCTAACCTAACCAATAATAATAAATATGAAATACACTCCTCGTTTATACGAGGATATCGTCTCGTCCGGAATGTAAACGCTCCTCGTGGTCACCGTGTATGGTATACCTACATACAATGATAGTTACACGGGTAATAGACGATCGTCCACAGTGCAAATCCAGGGATATAAGGGCAATTATATTACATTATATTACGCACTTGATGGGTTTTGATTTCTAGTCGTCCGAATATGTGTTTTTCGGTTATTATCCACGACCAAGAGCAATCGTACCTTTACCTTACGACAATTCAACCATAACTCGTCACAGCTCGTCAACCGAAACGGTAAAATCGCGTTTCCGAAGTCTCATCGAGTTTAACCGACCAGAGGTCAGAGAAGAGGTCGGCCACACGCTGTCGTCGGCTCGTCTTAATCTCCTATACGCGTTTTTCGACATTTACAGATAACTATTTTTATAATAATACCATAGCAGTACGTTTCATATCGAATCAATAAGTCTTTATCGCGTGCAAGTTACATCAGCGTGTATGTATGTGTGTGTGTGTGTGTGTGTGTGATCGGTCATTGGTATAAAAACTATTTTTACTATAAAAAAAAAATATTGTACAGTAGGTAGAGATGATGATAAAATGTTATTTATAATAATGAATTTAATTATTGTATGTTTCTTTGTACTCGTATTTATCATCGGATTTTTGTACATAATGACGGAGCTAATGTAAACAGGCTATTATTTGATCTGTACGTCCTCGGTGGCGTTGGGCGTTATCGCGTAAACATATATTCATTGTAAAAGTTCATCGAATATTTTTAAATATTTTAATGGCAAAACACTGCCCCGATCAAATGTCACACCGCGGTCGCATCCTAGGCGTTTCTTTTATTTTTTATTTTTCTCGCAAATAATTTCTACTCGTTTCATTTTATCGTAGTCATACTGAACGTTGTCTGATCATATTCAAACGTTCATCGGAATACTATTGACAGATTCATTTCTAAGAACGATAAAATCATATTTTCGTAACAGTAAGATTACAAGTCAACGAAAAACTAAATGTACAATCTCTGATTGACGAACCATATAAAATGATTAACTGATTAATGTTCTACCACATAGTATACCGAAGAAATAGTGTTGATATTATGACTTCTAACGAGTGTGATAGTTTCATTTGGCGAAGTAGTCAATTTATAGATTCATGAAAAAGGATCATTCCTCTCAATTTTTTTAACCGAAATTTATTTTATCTTATGGTACATATTCAAGATGATAAAAAGATGGTTATAACAATGTATGATCTTAAGCAGGCAGGTAGCCCACGGCTAATTTTTTTTGTTGCCCGTAACTACCAATATCAATCGACAAAATTAAAAATGAATAATAAAAAAATTATAAAATATTAATGTCAAGTCCCAACTATCTTGGATTCTTAGAAATTGTTATATTCGGTATACATTATTATGTCTTATATTCTGATAAACTATAATCGAGTAAGTTTTATTGATGGTTTTATATGTATACATATATAATATTTTTTTCGTTAAATTTTTATATAGTAAACTATTCAATATATTTGAGCCACTTGATACTTTGAATTTGACATGCCTGATCTTAAGTATCACAACAGTACTTTATATAGGTTCATATTACATAGATTAAAAATAAGTATAAATATTTTTAAAGATCGACAGGGAAAAAGAATTCTGATTATTTGGTATTTACATTTATTTTGTGATGTTATCGATTCAAATTCGTTAGGGTTTAAAATTAAATAAGCTAAACCCATTTTCATTTTTTTGAACTTTTCTAAATAGGTTCGTGTATCAATGATTTATTTCGGCATTAGTAAGTTTGCCCATAGTATCATAGTAAAGTCGTTAAAATGGTTTGAGCACACGAACTATAAGTCGTGTTAGGTCAAAAACTTTTCGTATGTTTGCTCTGCAATAATAATGTTTATTTTGAATATTGAACCCGTAATCAAAGGGTATTTTTTAGTCAAGAACATATAGATTACAAATGTTTAATTATTTATTCTTTTTTTTTTCTTTTTTTCTTGTTATATTATTTTTAACCTTAATCTACAAATAATTGAATTTATTTGTTTTTGATTGAGCATAAACTTTGTATTTAAATTACTTATTAGTGTTGATAATACAATCAACAATTTATCGCAGACCAGTTAAAAATCAGTTATAAATATGTTGAGTATAGTCATATTTTCAGTTGTATATTAAAAAATCAAATCCAAACCTATTTAGGAAAAATAGAAATTTTCGTTCGAAACTCCGAGATCGATTTGACAGTTACTTTTCCCGTACTAAATTAACTCTAAATGTCTCATACTCAAAGTACAAATTTAACACATAATATTATGTATGTTTAGTTCATTATATTAGGAATCGGATCCAGACGGCACTTAGTGTTTTATAGCTGCTTAAGTAATTATAAAAAATAAGCTATTTATCATAAGAGTATATTATGTGGATCAAAATTATTTTTACAACAAAACAATAAAACCTAATCAGGTGATTTTTCAATATTAATAATTAATTGCTTACATAGAGTTTCAACCTTATTAATTTCAATTTCAATGTTGGTTTGGCGCCTCAACCGCGGACACACATGGTTGGACGATAAGACCGAACATTATCATTTTGAGTAAAGCTTTTGCGATACTTATTTCGTATTTTTATTCAATTAAAACCATAGCATTTAATTTACACGTTAAAAAATTACATAATTCACATTTATATACATAAATATATATATATTGTTTATTTCTAATGTCAGTCTTGTTTTCAATACTGCACTACGATGCACTACGCTAAGTTGTCCGGTATAAACGATAATAATTATTATTCTAGCGTGTAGTGGGCCACAAGAGTTCAGTGAAAATCAATTCCCAAAGTCATCTCAGTTAAAGACGCATACACCGACAACCACTGACTTAACCGATTGAAATAACAAATATCAGATCTAAAATTCATCGTTTCTCAACATTTCGTCGTGATAACAGGTCAAAAACGCAGTTAGTCGTTTCTCGACCCGTCAATAAAGTATTGGTTTTACCGGTCGCAATTTTCTTTTACTTATGAGGAGACTAACTACCATAAAGTACTGCGGTACTTTTAAACGGAAAAGAAAACGTTTCTTAGTAAGTCAATTATTATTGCTAGTATTTTAATTTTTTTTTTCAATGTTTTTATTTTTTTTTTAACATTTTTATTAAAAAAATAAAAATAACTCCCTAGTCTTGTTTGATTCTTATGGAACCAAGACCCTGGTTGCTCGAGAAACGATGAATTCTACTAGATGTGCACGGCCACGACGTTTTAGAACACGTTTTAAATAAATTCACGCGCGATTAGCGACGACCGTTTCACGCCGAGTTCACGTTTTCCGGTAACAGTTGACGTGTGGTCCCGATCCGCTCGGCTTCGTCGACGGTGTCGGGCAGTTTGATGTTTTTGCTCTCAGGCATGGTCATGGTGACGACCGCGGCCGTTAGAGCGGTAATGCCGAACACCGGCATCACAACGAATTCGCCAAAGTAATCGCCCTGAAAACAGGAAAATAAGAGAAAATTAAAAAAAAGCGTCCCTCGAAACCGTCTGTACTGTAGGTCAGTGCTACTCAAACTAGGGGCCGTGAGATATTTATTTTACATAAAATATTTTCTCTAGGCCTTAATTTATTTATATTTATAGATGTTTAAAGTTTTTTCAAAACTGTATTAAAAAAAAAAAAAAAAAAAAAAAAAATATATTAATTTACTATATATTATAATAATTTATCTGTGTGTAATATATGTGTAATTTTATTACATAATAATTAATAACTCTAATTGAGGCGGCCTTGACAGATTTTCTTTAAATTTAGAGGGTCGTCCTATAACAAAACAGTTTGTGAAGTACGGAATCTATACGGTCCGGTTTCCTCGCGTGGGTCCCGTCGAAGGTTTAACACCAGGGTTGCCACTCATTTTGTATTTCGAAATTCCCTGACTTTTCCAGGTTTTCCAGAAAAAAAAATTATATTTTTCCATACACGAAATGTTGTATAAATAATAAATTTTTGAGAAACAATTATAATGAAATAGTATTAAAATTAACCTTCAGTTCTTAATTTCACTACTTATGTGGGGACCATATTTATGTGATACAAGTCAAAATAAAAAATTACTATTTTACATTACTTTGGCTAGTTGCGATTTGCAATAAGTAAATGTATATTTAGATTTCAGTAATTATGGAATTTTAGAATAGATAAATTACAAAATTTAAATTACTTCAGATAAGAATCACTGAAGTTGTTAAAAACACTACTGAGTCTTGCCACAAATTTTTCATTTTAAAATTCCTGACTTTTCTAAGTTTTCCAGATAGATTACATTTATGCTATTTAAAAAAAAAAATTATCTCATAAAATATTTAAAAAATAATAAAAAATGATTTACATGGTATTAGACCAGTGGTTCCCAAACTTTTTCCCATCGCGGCACATTATTATTAGTTTTTATAAGTCACGGCACACTTTGAATAAATATTATTTACTTATCGAATAATAGGTATATAATGATCGTTATTAGGTAATAATATTATTATCTCTCGATACCGTTTTCTCGATTACGTTCAAACCACACCACGATAAGCTTAAATTTTATTGAATTTTTGCGACGTTTGTTTTATAATAACTATGGATAATTTTTTAAATATAAAAAGAAAGCTTAAAGATTACGATGAAAATAATGGCGATAGTAAAAAAAAAAAAAAACGACAGTTACTGAAACCATCAAATCTGGTACACAATCTTCTAGTGCAAGCCGTAAGTACCATGATAGTTATTTAAATTTTGGTTTCACATTCTGTGGATCAGAAACTATTCCTATTCCTCAGTGTTTGGTATGTGGAGAAAAACTTAGGAACGAATGTATGGTACCTAGTAAATTAAAAAGGCATTTTACTACTAAACACGGACATTTGTTAAATAAAGACAAAACTTATTTTAGCCGCTTATTATCGTCAAATATAAAACAATCAAAACAATTTGAAAAAACTTACAAATATATCCGATAAAGCTCAGATTGCTAGTTATGAAGTTGCTGAATTAATAGTTAAAAAAAATGCAGCCTCACACTATAGCTGAAAATTTAATATTATCAGCTTGCAAAGAAATTGTAAAATCAATGTTAGGTGAGAGTGCTGAGAAGGAAGTTTCTCGTATTCCATTATCAAATAACACAATATCTCGACGAATTGAAGATATGTCTTCCGACATTCAAAAACACGTTTCTGAAATTTTATGTGATGGCCGAAAATTTTCATTACAAATTGACGAATCGACCGATATTAGTCAAAAATGTCAATTATTAAGTTATATACGATTTATTGAAAACAATGAGGCTATTGAACAATTTTTATCTTGTACTGAATTATTAACAACATCGATCGGGCAAGATATATATAATTGTGTTAGTGATACTCTAAAAAAAAAAAATGAACTGTTATGGACAAATTGTATTTCCGTATGCACAGATGGAGCTCCTGCAATGACTGGCAAATTTAAAGGCTTTGTTTCGAGATTAAAACAAGATTTTCCAAATATTATTTCAACCCATTGTTTTATACATCGTGAAGCTTTGATGGTTAAATCGATTCCAGATGAGCTTAAAAATGTTCTTGATTTAGTAATTAAAATGGTAAATATTATTAAATCAAGAGCTCTTAAAACACGAATTCTTAAAAAAATGTGTGAAGAAGCTTGTTCTCGTTATAAAGTTTTAGTTTTACATACTGAATTCGATGGTTATCAAAAGCTAAGGTTTTAAACAGATTTTATGAAATGAAAAATGAATTGTTGCAATTGTTCAATAATGAAGACCCAAACAGCGATTTCGTAACTCAATTAAATAATCCATTATGGTCTGCAAAACTTGCTTATCTAGCTGATATTTAGATAAACATTCACTAAAATATCATTATCTCAATAAATTTGTATCATCGACTATGTTCCTAATTATCTTACGTTCAACCGTTTGATTGTACGTTAATTGTACACGTACACATTTTCGGCTCTTTTGCGTTTGAAGACCTGCGCTTGATGAAAACGAAAACAATTTTACAGTTTCCCGTGACTCGTACGATCCCTTATCGGATTTTTATTCTTTAACTATGGGTTCAGGGCCGGCGTTAGAGGAAGGCAAAACGGGGCATTTGTCCAGAGTCTCGCACCTTCAAGGACCTCGCGCTTAAAATGTCCATTGAAAAATTTTCTACGGAAATCTCATAAAATAAAACGCGAAATGTGTAGATCGCCTGGCGATTACGATTCCTCGAGAAATCCATTGGCATGTAACGAAACAAATTAATAAAACAACAATATTATATTCAATATGTCATGCACCAACGACGATCCGTACGGCACTCCACGCGGTATGGAAACCGGAATCATAGGAAATTAATTTTTTCACGTTTCTTAAATCGAGTCAGTCATTACCCAATATCACGTGCAGCGTGTCTGATTATATGTTATCGCCTTTAATTGCGGCCTCCTACAGACTATAGGTGACTATTTTTGTGGGAAAAATAAGTTTTGCCCAGGGCCTTGCAAAAGGTAACGCCCGCCCTGTATGGTTTCGAAGACACGCGCGGTCCGGTGGAATATTTTATCCCTAGGACGATGAGGGGTAATTGTTTTTCGTCTTTAGCACCGCGGTGAGTTGATGTGAAAACCGTACTACACATCTTGAAATATCGTAATAACAGTATTTGTTTTGGGATTTTCTTGTACGACCCAACAGCGGTGCCGTCGCGGACGACGCGTCCCCGACCTTTCGAACACCGTTGACGGGTATGAATCACGCGACGCGCACAAACGCAAGGATCACGGACTTCTGGAAATATTTACATTAGTATCGGTATTTAAATTACTTAATTTTTTTGCAATTTATAATTTTTCAACAGTTTTTTCAAATATATTTGCCAAAACATTCATCACAAAAAATACCAATTATTATTATTATGTTCCCCATAAATTAAATTTAAAATAATATCTAAATTAAGCAACTTTGAAGCATTGATTAAATATAATATTTAATCAATGGTTAAAATAATCAAAGCAAATAAAAAAAAAAAAGTGCTAAGCATTAGAATCATAGATTTTAAAAATAGTATTTAGTAATTTATTTTATAAATATCATGTATTTTAAAGTATGTGCTTATGTCATTTATGCATAAATTCATGTTTACAGTTTGTACATAATATATTTTTTTTCTTCGAATTATAGTTTAAAATTAATCGTAATTTTTGAATTTTCATATATATATATTTATTTCGTGTCGAAAAATCATATTAATTTTTGTACTGATGCTAGTACATTCAGTACGAAGATCGACTTTCTCATTCTAAAAGAAGATGGTTTTCTTCCAGCCATTGAACGAATAATAATAATATTTCATGGATCTTAATTTATATTTCAATCAACTTGCCCTTATATTCATATTTTTAGAATCTTGGTAATTGTCGAAAAAATAGGATCACTGAATTATTAATATGATTTATATCACGATTAAAGACATAAAACACTACTAATGTTGATTAGGTAAATGTTTTGCATTTATATTTTAATCGAGATTAATATTTCAACAACAATAATATTAAAATATAATTGAAAATTATATATTCTTGAAAGTATAAATCTAAGAATATGAAAATATTAAAAATAATAATATAAAATAGTAACATATGATGTGGATTGTTCATGAATATCATGTTTTAAAATTTAATAAATGACATGCACGGGCAGAGACAACACGACTTAAATAATGAGGACCTAACACAGATATACAAATGTTAACATTTAAATTATTTCGTCTTTGGTTAAAACGCATCATTTTCTGTTTGAAACAATATCAATTATTAGTTTTATTAACAGAATAACACAAAGTTCTACAAAACTTTAAATATAAATTATGATAAATAAAAATTATACTACTTATATACATTTTTATTACAATACGACAGTGATGATTAAAAAAGTTAATATTTTCTGTACCGTTTAAAACAAAAAAACAAAGTCATTTACTTTTATTATAAAATCAAAAACTGTTGGCTAAAAAGTGTTATTATATCATATTACTCGTATTTACAATTTATACATAACATTACATACATAACATGCTATGGATTTCAATTATATTTGTTTATTGTTGAATTTCAACATAGCATTTTGTCATTCGTCGTTTAGCAGTATCCAGGTATTGTAACCGACAACTTAAATAGAAAACAGAATTAGCAGCTACTGTTATAAGTAAGTATATTTATAATAATATTTTGAATTAAAATTAGATTCGATCTACAGAAGTTATGAACACACGGAGGTAGTCTTTTTCTAACTTTTTTCTCACTGCAATTACCAGCCCACGGCGAGCAACGTTAAACAAATCATCCTATCATAGGAGAGGGATGTGGGGTACACGTGTCGAGTCTTTTACTAGCGAGAACAACACGAAGTATAAGTTGTCTTCATCGGAATCGTATTAGCAAACCCAAAATCATTTATCGTTAAATGTACATATCATCATGATCTTCAAGGATTACAACGAAATTTTACAATATAATTTTCATAACAAACTTTTTCTTTTATCATTTTACATCGTATACCCGGAAGGTACATAAAATATTTCGGATTTATGAATACGATAACAAGAAATATTGATATATAAGTTACAAACTATCAACAGCTAATGACAATTTATATAAATATTAACTAATTTATCGTTTTTTCGTGCCATTGTCCACTACATGTCTGAATTTAATTATAATAACATAAACGTTTATGTTTAGCACAAATTTTTTGTTTAAACCATTGTTCTAATAAATGAAAAGCAGGATAAATTAAAAAAATTAATGTACCTTAGTAAAGTAACAGAATACTAATAATATGCTAGTTGACTTACATTGATTTTAAAACCTATTTAAACTTCTTAATCTGGCACAAGTCATGTAAAAACTTCATTACTAAATGTAATTTTAACTTACCAAAATAACACAAAGACCTTATATTAAAGTGTAAATTATAACTTTTTCAGATTCTCATAATCTATTTAGACTATTTGATAATAGAATACAATAAATAAGATGAGTACTTCCAACATGATGAGTGAAATTAAAACAGGCAAGCAAATCAAGAGGTAACACATTCAAATTCATTCCAAACATGTTTTATATTTTAACATTGAAAAATAATTTATTATTATTTTGGATGAATCTTAATAACCATAAATTCATTTTTAAATTATTCTTTTTAAGAAATTCTAAATTATTGTGATTAACTTATCAAATCAATATAGAACTGAGGAATATCCCACGATTGTGGAAAGTTATGCGCGTGAATGTCCAAATGGAAAAAGAGAAAAAAAAAGAATTTGCAAAGCTTTACCTAAAGATGGGTATGATCAAATAGTTAAATATTTTATAGATTTAAATTTTTAAATATTTAACTAAATGGTTACTAATTATTACCTTTATATCTGACTATAATAGTAATGTATGCCTTAATTTTTAGAAATAACGGAACTCAACAGAAGAAGTTGAGCAAAAATACGGCAAAAAAAACGTAAACGCGCTCACCAAATGGAATCAACCACAAGCGTCATTGAGTACAGTTAATTTAATTTTTTTAAAATTCGTTTATCTAAATTCATTGTTATTTTACAGAACGGTAACTCAGTATGAAAGTCTACCAAAAAATACTAATTCAAAAGTGGTACCAAATGAAATTATCAATTCTACTGATGGACCTCATAATAGGTATTTATTATAAAATAATAATTTAGTGTACAAAAAATATTTTTTCGCTAACATAAAGCTTCTTATGATAACTATTTTGTTTTACTAAACCAAATTGTATAAATCTACATCCATTATATTTTAAACTTAGCTTAAATCTAGTGGTCAAACAACATCGAATAATTACAAGTCTTCAGATCATAATGGAACCAAAAATGTTGACGTGATTATAAGTAAAGATAAAAACAAAAAGGTTTTGGAAGATTTAAACGTGCCAAAAATCCAAATCAAAGGAAATGGAAATTGGTATATTATTATTTATAACAAATGCATTTATGATTAATTCTATTAGTGCCACCGAATTTTAATTTATTAACAAATAATTGTTTATGTTTTCCAGTGTAATTAAAGAAGTTGACGAAAATTTGTTCAATTTACCTAGAAACGTTGCTCTAGCCCATTGTATTGCAGAAGATTTACGTATGGAAAGAGGAGTCGCGGTTCAATTCAAGTAAAACTATTTTAAATTTACATTGATTAAAACAATAATTATTTTTCTCGCTATCTAGACGTTATTTTGGAGGTATTGGTCAACTTATGGACCAAAAACTTACCATAGGCGATGTTGGAGTGGTGGTTAAAAACGAAACAGAATATGCTTTTTATCTGGTGACAAAAAATTATTGTAACGGCACGTCGACAATGTTATCATTGTCACATTCATTAAAGTCGCTCGTAGAAAAAATGCAAGAAAGGAAAATAATCAAACTAGGCATTCCTCAAATTGGCTGTAGAACAAATGGATTGGAGTGGTCAAAAGTTAAACCACTTATTGAAGATATTTTTGCCGGATCCGGAATCGAAATAACTGTTTGTGTACCAACAAAAGTAAGTGTTGGAAATAACAGAATATTTTATTGTTTTCATAATCATAAACCTATTTTAAGATATTCTATCGTCCATCACCACCTCAAATGAAAGTGTATATAACACCTAAGAAACTATTGGAAATTAATAACAAGCTAAGTGACTTATTATTACTGATTGATATTGAACAAATAAAATCAAATCATTTGAAAAATGACTTGGTAGATGCTGTAAACTTAGAATATCCTTCTTTCAAAGAAAAGTAATTATTTTACAACTGTATTACATTATTTTAATTGTTGTTAGCTAAATATATTATAAATAATTAAAACAAAAATAAAACGTGAACATCAGTGCTGAGCACTCTTAACAATGATCTAAATGTAATTCGTACGTTTTAAATCCTCATTTTATTTTGTCCGACCATAGATTAATGAAGGACATTAAAACTAAAGCATTGAAGCCTGGTGACGTTACCTTTTATTTTATAAAGAAAGAAAATATACACTGTTTATTCACTAGTCAGTCAGCATATTACAGTTCACTAGAAAAAGGATTTTTAACAATAAAAAACTACGTAAGAAGAAGTTATAGGAACTTTGCCATTCAGAGTGGTCCCATAACACCAACTGCATACTTTAAGCACATATCAAGAATTGTGTTATTGTTACGTTCAATAATTTATGGATCAGAATTATGGTTATGCGGTGATAGTGATCAGACCAACGAAAAAGAAGTGTACGAGCACTATTGTAAACAAGTTTTTGAGGAAATTAGACTTTCAACAAAGTCGAAAGATAGAAATAATCTTCAGATAGGCAAAAAAAAACAATCCACCGAAAATTAATTTGCAAAGAAAATAATTTTCGAAAATCCATAAGAAAAAACTTACACGATTAATCAAAATACTAACACAGTTGTGCATTTAAACGAATAATAAATTATTTAAATATATAATAATTGTAATAAATAAAAATTGTAATAAATTGTAATAAATTTATAAACATAGAAATACATGTATACAATATTGTTTTTGCATTATATTTCGATTTCACAAAAAAAGTTATCCACTCAATATAAAAATTTAAAAATTGCGTTAAGTGTAAAATATAGGTTTCCATTTCGTGAAATGGAAAAAATAAATGTCCATTAGATGAACCTAAAAACGACTTACGCGATAAGATCTAAGTTCATGAAATAAATATTTATTTCGTGAAAATTACGATTACACTAAGTGGACTTTAGATGATACATTTGAGAATTGGAGAAAAAAAAAATTCCAAGTAGATTCTTGATCATGTGGCAATACTACTCGTATTTATGATACGAATTTCTAAATTGGTAGTTCATTTAACTTAGACACAAAATATCGGAGTAATATTTTCCATGCTCTACGAAGTTTTGGTTTTATTAGATTGACGTTTTGTACGTTTGATGTTAGAAGAAACAAAAATTAATATATTACAAACCACAAATAAAACAATTGTCATGTCTAAGAAAAAATTAAATATGCAATATGATATTTAGCATTAAATACTCATTTCATAAAATTTGAGATTAAGATAAGCAGAGTTTTTCATCAAGTATTGACTAGCTATTTGTTTTAATATTTAAATATTGTTATCATGTTTACTCGGGTTTTCTAATCTTTGAACAGCAGTTTTAATTAGATGACGGTATTCGATCGTGTAAGGAGTTGCAATTTTAAAGACTAATGTTTTCTTTCGGAATCTGAAAATTACGTATTTACTAAAAAAATTACGTAAAAATAGTATACTTTCATTTAACTGTTTAAAAACACTTCTAAATTATCCAAGAAAATGAATATTTTGTTAAAAAAAAAAAAAAAAAACCATTATTCTTCCTCCGTGCTACGTGTCACTACCGAGTATGGAGTCCGGAAACATATTTCAACAGCTTGATTAGCTTCGATTGCCAATTATTTCCAAGTGAAATGTACGTTGAGAGTAAAACATTTCTGCGACACGGAAAACATTTATTAAAACGTGTAGTTGACCAAAACTTTACGCTAATAGCAGTCGTGGTAGAATTTGCGACGAAATAATATATTTCCAGTCGTAATCGTAACGATTTAAATCGCTTGAAACCTATAAGGGCACGTATCGGGCGTACAGGTTTGTCAACTCCATGACGAGTGCCACTTTGTCATATATATACTTCGAGTTAAATAATCATAAATACACCAAATACATATATACTTACATGAAAATTATTAAAACATAAGAAAAATTGTAATGTATTTCATATATTCACAATTATTAGTACGTCCGAAATCGAAAACCTCAAAAATCCATTTTTAACCGCCGACCGTCTAAAGTTTAGAATAAGTTTCTAATAATTAGACATATTTTACTGTACAAGGTACAACCTTAGATTAGACCTATTACTTTTGGAATTATGACTGAAATACTGGATAGCTAAAATGTGAAAAGTGAAATTCTCAATTGTGGTGCATTTTTACCGTTTTTACGGCAATTTTTTTCTCATTCCTGGAAAAACTATTGATATTTCGGAAAAATAATCTCTAATTGTAATTGACAAAAAAAGGAAAAATAAACTATTCATAATTTCTAAATTACACAAGGGTTCATGTACAACTTTCATGTATTTAGCAGAATTTAATTTTGCATTAAAACATTTAACGGATTTCAGTCAATTCGTGATAATATATTCGCAGGTATAATTAATGGATTTATGTTACATTACCTGTGATGTACAGAAATAAAGAAATGTATTATTTATATAAATTTATTTTTTATTTTTAATATTTTAATCAAAAATATACTTACGAGTTTACGATGATTGGTGAATTACAATCATAACGTAAGAATTATAGACAATTGACAAATAAAATACTACCGTAAAACAAATAATATAAAATAAGTAAATTAGTCAATAAATTTGATTTAAAAGAGCTCAAAAAGTAAAATCCATAAACATAAACCAACAAAAATAACCTATAAGTAGACTATTTTTCTTTCTACGTGAAAATAATAATATTCAAATAATATTTATCTATCTATGTTTTATCAATGTTCGGCTGTAAATAATTCAACAACATTTATTTTTAGGTCATATTTTTAGCTATTCTTACATACCCACACAAACAACAGTCGACTGTCTTCTTTTACATTAAATAATACACATATATTTTAAAATTAAATACATTGAAATAAGTATTAATAATTATTAATAAAAGTAAAATTATTTATATGAATCGAACATACCTACATAATATGTTTATAGTACATAATATAGTGTATATTTAAGAAATGAGCTGAAGGCAAAATTATTGTAATAATAGGAACATTAGATTTTAAATAAGTTGCTATTGGATATATTACGTATATATATATATATATATATATATCTTAGGGTAAAGTTCAAAAATGGGTAGTTTACACAATACCCGGGTAAAGTACACCTTATTCATATGGATAGTATAATGTGTACATTATCCAGTGTGCTATAAGTTTAATTCGAAAAAAAAATTATTAAGTACCTAAACTATGTATTATTAAGTTATTATTTTATAATAAAAAATGTTAAAAAATTAAATAAAGTTATTTATTGGAACACTTTGAGGCATTTTGAGTTGCAAAATATCTCTCCAGATTTACATTTAATCGTACATTTATTTGTTAAATGATTATTTATTAATTATTTAATAACAAACATTTTTTAAAACTTTGACCATCGAAAAAAAATCGTGCATTAGCTATTTCACAAAAAGATTTTTTTGTAACCGACACTTATAAAATATTAATAAAAGTTTCATTATGGTTTATTTGTTTTTATTCACATTTCTTATTTCAGATAATATGTTATAATATTTTGATTCCTTTAAATTTACCGAATTTCCATTCTTTTCATTAGTTTATTTATTATAATTTTCATATAATTTTTTTTTTTTTTATGACGAAAAGTTTTTTTTTAAAAAACTAAATGATCAAACATTAATAAACCGAACAAGTGAACTTGAAAAGCACCGTATGTAGTTTAAAATTATTATACAATATCAATGCACACGATTTAACATCATGTAGGTACAATTTATATTTTATCGTATTTTATTAATATTATCTACAGTTCATATTTGTCGTATTTTATATTATGAAAACACTTTATCCACTCAAAGATAGATAATGTAAAAATTACCCGGTTGATGTACCTACAAAATAAATGTTTTACAAATATGTTTACTTTATCCAATGGGCATGGGTAATGTTCACATTACCCGGATGATGTGTACATTACCCAATTTTCTTACTCTATCCGTAACATATACACTATACTACTATTAATATAGTAATATATTATACTAACCGACTTCTAACTAAAAGTGCCAAGTGGTGATCAACATCTTATTTTTTCATTTAGGACTATAAAAATACGAAGTTCTATTTATTTTTTCATTAATTTTTAAATTTTTATCATAAAATTTAATTATTGAGCAAAATCAGAAATGCACAGTTGTGTTTATTAAATTTACAATTTTTTCCCGGTTTCCCTGATTTGCAAATTAATTCGCTGACTTTTCCCGGTTTTCCAAGTCTGTGGCAACCATGAACACTAACCCTTTTCAAGCGGTGACCACCAGCCATTGTAATTGTGTATCATGGTACACAACCTAACCTGCAGGTGAAATTATCATCTACCGATATGACATAATGTCGTCCTAATATATTTTCATATCATCAACGGTGCACGGTTAAAAACATAACGGTACGCGAACGACATACAGATTGTTGTTATCGTCATCAAGTTTTAATTTTGAACTTTTTAACAAACCGGATATTTTTGTGTACTCGTAAAATAAAATATTTCATAGAACTGGGTACGATTTCAAAAAATTAATTTTAAAACGATTTTTATATTTGAAAATTTGAAAATCATACTTACAAGGAAATTCTATTTGTTTTTTAAAATGCCTTGTAACGATCATGTTTTTTGAGTAATCACTTTTTAACAATAAATGTAATAATAATGGTACTATCAGCTGGTTACCGCGGAGAGTATCACTTTTATGCATTGATATTTATAAATACGCCTATATAATAAATAATCTCATTATTACATCGAGAAAATTTTTTTTAAGGATTTGAGTTTAGAGTTTTTAAAATTATTTTATACGATGATTTTGGATTTAGGTTTTAATAATATATAATTTGTTAAAGTCTTCGTCCAGTTCTGAGTAATACTATATATCTCAGTACGAAAACCTAATGATGTTCCGCAATAGATTTATGTGAATTGTAACGCGTATTGTTTACATGCCCTATACTTTATTATCTGACAAACGAAGTATTGGGTGTTCCTTTCGAGTGTTTCCACGTGAGCACCGGATTACCCGAAGAATTTTTTTTGAACATTGTCGTTTAAGCACGTATCGTTTCTTTTCGGACATGACGAACACAAATTCGTTCATCGAGCATTGAGCTAAGAACAAAGGTGTGACAATCGAAACATGCGTGGTCTTAAAGGATGCCACACCCCCTAAACATGTTGTCTCCGTCTCCGTACAAACGTACAAAATGGTGAATTGACGTTCAATAGTTCAAATGTTGTGTTGATAGCTTTAATTTTGGAGTAAACTGGCTTATCACCACACAAAAACTGATGGATATTATTCATGTTTGTCGGTTTGGTACGATATTTTAATTTCTAAGCGAGTTATACGAATAAGTATGTGGAATATTACAATAAAAAAAAAAAAAACTTAGAACACGCCTGTGAATTAAAATATCGTAATAAGCCGACCAATAAAGACGCATGTAATGTTCTTCTCTTCGTGTTCGATAATAATTCATTTAACTATAATTGTACAGTGAACAACACAATATTTGAACTACTGATCGATCATGGCTGTGAGATGGAGAAAACACATGGGGATGTCCTCTTGTATCACGAGATTTTACCGTACAATATTTTGTCCAAAATCATCATTGTCACCTCGTTTTCTTGCGACTACGTTCTTGCCGTCGTGTGCAATAACCTAGTTAATAATAACCTAACCTGTTGACGAAACGTATAGATACGTACCAGTAGTGTGATCTGCGGCGCCAACATGGACCCTATTCGACCGATCATGGAGCATATGGATAGCAAGCTGACTCGCATCCGGGTGGGAAATATTTCCACGGTCAGCAAGTAGACGATGACAAACGCGACGGATATGCCCAGTTTGCTGATCAAGAACAGCGACAGTTTCACAAAGAAGTAATCTGTTTCGGAAAAAAAATAAAAAAATTAGTTAATATTACTACCGATTGATTTAACATGCTTAAAGTATGTTTTAGGTACATAGTAACGGTGTTCGTGACTTGACATATCTTATATTTTTTAGTTTTCAATCTTACTCACTTCAGACTTGAAACAACTCTAACTATAAATTTATTTCATAATATAAACAATAGCTGTTTCGCATCTTTTCGTAAATTTTCAGATGGTTTTGGAAAATAAATTTATGAGAAAAAAAATCGTATTTCACAACATCTTAAGGAAAAATGATTATTTAAATATGTTATAAAATATAAAATTATTTCCTTTTCAAATTGAATTAAAAAAGGCAGTGAAAATTCCAAAAATAATATTAACGTATTTGTATTCAACCACATAATTGATTTATGTTTTTTTTTATGGTTAAGAATGAAAAATTATCATAAGCCAAAAAAAACAGTGCATGAGCGTAGAACTTTTTAGGGAAGGGGCTAATGATTTATAGAATTCTACCTTTATATTTGTTGTGCATGAAAGTTAGGTTTGGTTATGAATAATTTTTAAATCATTGTTAAAATCTGGTGAGGGGAAGGCTTAGCTTCTTTAAGTCTCCTTTAATGCGTCACTTTTTCAATTGGAAAATGAGGTTATATATGAAGAAAAGAGCGCTCACCGGACGACGTCAGGTTGTAAGCGACACAAGTGGCACCGCTCAACACGAGCATGCAGGACAGTGACATTTTCCTGGAGAAGCCTTCCATCACCATCCAGTTCAACAAGCAGGCCGGGATCTCGACCAGCGACACCAACGTGAAATTCAAATACTTGTCACCCGCGATGTCGGTCGCACTTATGGTCAATCCGAAGAACACCATAGTTATTCCTATCCTGCGCGCATCAATATAATGTTTTTATTTTTATACCTAATCATAAGTTTTTTTAAATTGAAATCAGTCGTAAACGTTTACGAAGGTATTATTATCGAATAATATTCAGTAACTTTTGTCGACATCGATTGTATGGGTACAATCCAATAGTAATTTGTAAATCATTTATAAAATATTAAATAACACTTAGATATTATTTTCACCATGAACCAATTTTGCCCATGTCCAGTAATAATCCGCATCGGGTTAAAATAGTTACAACACACCCGCGTCAAAGGTCTACAAGGCTTTTTTTATTTATTTTAAAAGTGTAGTGACATATAATATAATAAACTCGTCCGCGGTGTGCAATTGTAATACTTAAGTCGCGAAACCAAAGTCTGGAACCACGATAACGGATTATTTGACATCCTCGGAAAAATATAGACAAAGTGTTTATTATAAACATAAAACGTTAAAATCAAAATAATTGATGCAATAATTATTATAATATATAGGTGTGCGCATGTGGGTGGCAAGGTGGCAAATATTAAATTTAAAAAAAGATTAAAATATAATAGGGCTGCCCATCCTGCCAAGAAGGTCTACGCACGTCTATGTTACAATAATAATAAAAATACAAAAAACGTTGGTCATAAATATTATTTTTTGAAATTGTTAGACATACATTTTATTTTTAAGCTTTTCTCAGAATTTTTCTTAGGTCGTAAGCTTGTAATCTGTAAGGGTATTCCAATGATATGGTTTTTAAGTTAAACTCATCCATGAATTACTGCCTGAAGAACTGTTTTTCTCTCGATATTAGCATTACATATGAAATTGCAATACCTCTTTAATGTAATCGATTTGAACCTTTATATATTTTAAATCATTGTTGTTGATACATTCGAATTGTGTAGTTAGCATTAAACATGTATTTATTTACCTATGTTTACGATTTGAAGTTCTCAACACGCCATAGGCGGTGTGTTATGTATAGTATACATGGATGTAGGTACTTACCATATGGATGAACACTTGATCATTCTCCAGAGTAAAGTTGGCGAGTGAATTACGTCCTTCAATATTCTGATGTATCCAGTGTCATCAATAGATTTCGTGGCCTAAGGTTAATTCAAAGTGAATACATTGGTTATAATATTATTGTTGAATTACTCTGAATTTCAAAAACACCGCCGACGAGCTATGAACGGTGGTTTCGCGCATTGTGATACCTCTGCATAGAGATAATCAAATTTTGTACATCCTCTTATGTCTCACACGACTGAAGCTGATATTTATTAGTTTTAAACAAATAAGTATGAACGTATAAGCATAGTAGATAGTAAAAGAAATTGAATTTTTACAAAACTGAATGATATTCTTTTTATAGAGATTATTTAATTTACAGAAAAACACTTTGACTAGGCGGGAATTTTTATGGTAAGAATAATTAGTGCTGAATGGTGATAAGCAGAGCTCGGGAGTTAAAGCACTTGCTTATGTTTGTGGATTAACTTAAAATGCAGCAGATTGCTATAGAAGTGTATGTCAAGATAACACGTACAATTATGAAATTTGAAAGTGCCCCTTTTTGCTTTTTTTCAAAAAAATGTTTATTTTCAGTTTTTCTAATTATTTTTGCTTATTTGATATATTTTATAATTTTTAAATGCTTATTTTAGTGCTTGTAATAATTTTTTTAAGCGCTTATTTTAGTGATTTTAAGTGCTATAAGTCCCGAACCCTGGTAATAAGCTTTTGTCCGATATCTAACACGATTGGCATAAGATAATAAAACTTTTTTGTGAATTAAAATACATACTTGTATTAAAAAAATTATGATATTAAATTTAAGTTATCAAGTAGTTTAACCGTTAGATTTTCAGAAAAAAAAAAACCCGTAAAATGACTATAATATCTTTAAATCGTGTATAAAAATAATTAATTAAAAAGTTTTTTCTTCCTCAAATATTTAAATACTTATTTTTTTTTTTAATAAGTGTATTAATTATATTTGACCACCAAAAGCGTTAAAAGAAACATAATTTAACTACACTCCTATTATGAACACAGAGATATAGAGATACAGGAGATAATGTGATAGTTGAACCATTGTTAAACGCTCGTGTGACACTCCGTTGATATTATATCTACAAATTGATTTGCAAAAGTGTAGTTTAAGAACATTTGTATTTGTTTTTTTTATCATTATAATGAGCTTTGGATATGCGTTGAGTTCAAATTGGTGTTCAATCACGGGTATATAGAATTATACGATAGAACAAATAATTGTTACGCTTACTGTTATTGGAACTTAAATACTCGCCTTTGTTCTTGTGGTCAGATGTATTTCGGGTAGAGGCTTCTTGTTGATGCCCGAAATCACCTGGAGTGCGTGGATCACCCGTTCGTGTTTGCCTTGCATTTCCAACCACCTCATCGATTCTTCTACCATCCTGTGAAATTATCATTCATGACCATTCATAAACATACACGAGTTTTCCCGCAAACTTAATGCACGTAAACATGATTCCGCATGATTTTTAATTACCACATTACCGTATCACCCGTCAAAAGAGATGGTTAATCCTTTTTTTTCCTCTTAATATCTAATCTTAACCGCTTGGTAAAACGCAGTTTTAGCATATGAGCAAACGAGCGTAAGAGTCAAATCCATTTGACGTACTAAATACTGTCGTCCATATATCAAGCGTTTAACGGACGGTACGGCAACGGTGCATTCAATATCACGTGGAATTTTATATGTTCGTAAACAATTATAGAAATCTTGTGACCGATATGAAACGGCATAAAAATGTATAATAATACGCAGTACACTTCGATCCGTGACGGATGATTAGGTACCAGTAATAAGAGAGGAACAGCAGCCCCGGCACGTTGGACAACTGTAATAAGAGCCTCCAGTCTTTCACCTGACTGGCGATAAAAGAAACCAAAATGGCACCCAGCGGATAGAAACATTCCAGAAGCGAACAGATGATTACTCGATGATTGGGCAGCACCAACTCCATCGCTAGAATTCAAACGGATTCGTTCAAAATGTATGTATATTATGTCTTCGAGAGAAATTAATCAATACAGTATTCGGTTTTCTTAATTCCCCTAAACAGTGGCGTGCGCAGGATTTTAGTATGGGGGGGGAGAGTATGTAATTTATTAAAATGTATTATTTTCAATTTTTATTCTTTATTATCATACAAAAAAAAAAAAAAATTTAATCAAGGCGAAAATTCATCCTTTTGGCTTTTACACTAAATTCATCAATAATTTGTTCTGTAGATAATAGAATTTCTTGATGTATTTTCATTAACGCAATCCATTTAACCGTGACTACCCTGTCGTATTGCTTAAATACGTTTTTAAACGTTTAAGATTAAAAAAAAAAAGAAAAAAAATTCCTCTATCATCCCCCCTGCGTACGCCACTGCCCCCGAAGCATATTACAATATGTTACGTTTTACTCTTTTATTGCCCACGCGCGGTGGTCTTAATCGTACGTTCCTACGTACTTCTCATCGTTTTACCGAAACCTTAACAGCTCGTAAAATCATCGCATCATCAGTATCTCCATTGTTTAAAACTTTTCAGATAAACCGTTTGCCCTTTCTCATGTTTTGCAATTAGCATTTTTCCGCAGTTCACCATTTTTTCAGGTATGAATTTTTTCGGTTTAGCACCTCTGCCTATCTCCGACTCTATACTCGTTATTTTTTCTCTGCGGGCCTAACCGTCCGATCATTTGTCAACCGGTTAAATCTGTCTGATTATCTTATTATTTTCTTTTCGGCATTTACAAATACTCACACTATTTAAATTGTGTTTTGAATGTTTCCGTTTGTAAAATGTGTAGTTTAATAATTTCATATAGCATTACACTAAGAACGTGATGTTAATTATTCGTATAGTATAATTGTTAAGTTGTTTCGTTCGACGTCTACAAACCAAATAATGTCAGAATGTAGATGTAATAACAATGTAAATAATGTAAATTTTTATGTTGACAGATTGCATACGCCGTTGGCAATTCTACAATAGGTCATCGTTTCATTTACAACTATTTCGCTTATTGGTCGAATCTATAACCTAATATGATCGGAAATCAAAAAAATCTATTTTTTTGATGGCGCTCATCGTTTTAGTTACGATACCACGTGCGAGTCTCATCACATTCGATTAATATGTCTGTAATATGTATTAAGTATATAATTATACAACCCAGTATTACCTAGTACGAATGTAACCGTGTAAATACCGCTGGAAATGGTTGAAGACAAAAGTTCTAAGATCAAGAACATTGGATAGTTGACGGAAAACGATTGGCCGATGGATATTATGGCCGATGTAACTGCACAGAACACCATAGTGAACTTACGGCCAAACCTGTGAAAACGCTGAGTGCTAGGAAAAACAATTTTCAACACACAATGTAACCTCGATAACTCGAACCGGCTGAAGGCATAAAAATATATGGGTATTTGATTTATCCGAAAATCGTGTTTATTGATTTATTTTACAAGCAGAGATTATATTTCTGCATTCGTTTATTTACTAGAATTATCTTAAACATGCTTAAAAACACGTGTACTGTAAGCCACAAGTCAACGTAAATGACTTTGAGTAATCGAGATATCTGAATTGACACAGGAATATTTCATTACACAAATCTTGCATTGAAACGTAGAACATTCGAATCATCGAAAATTCGATCTATAGACCATACGAGTTATCAAGGTTCTACGGTACATTTTTTTTTTTCTTTCAATGGGTCTCTCATTAGAATTTGTAATGGAGTAGGCAATTTATGAAAACATGGTGCAGTTGTGTTAGTAACAACTGCATAGTCGCACGTGTACTGGTGAATAAACATAAGCACGCTTTATCATAGATAACATATGTTTAATTTATGGTTTTATCTACACGTACGAGAATATTAATAGGACACGATACATTTGAAAAATCGCAATTGTAAAGTTTAAAATTTTACCAGGACCGGTGCATAGGGTAAGCATGGAATGATCATCGTTCATTTTCGAAACCGATACCGCACGCATAATGCGTTTCAGCAAACCACGGTCAAAGCTGTTATCGACCAGAACAAACGCGGGTGCCGCAGAGGGTTGTATCCGAAAACCGCATACTTTTGATTTTGACCCGAAAAATATTGATAGACAAAAACAACACACTTTATAGGTCATTGTATAACAAAATACCCAAACTTATAGTGGTTAAAACCGCACACTATTTTTGGTGCTAACCGATAAGATTATAAGATATACTACAATAATTATGCTAACCTATTTTAATACTTCAGTCACCATTCCTTTTTACTTTATCGGTCTTGCTTCTTCTACATACATATATAGTATAGTATATTTTTTACATTTTAGAATACTCGTACACGCATTTTTTTTTGTTTGAATAAATTATAAACTATTAAGTATACCTAACCTAACCTAACCTAACCTAACCTAGGTATGTATAACCTTTTTGGGGTCGAAATAAAAAGCGTGCGGTTTTTGGATGTAACAATTTTAAAAACTGTGCGATTTTAACCTACCAAAAATGTGTGCGGTCTTAACTAACCGAAAATGTGTGGTTTTAGGAGTCAACGGCCGCAAAGGGGTCTCGGCCGCGGCAGTTCCGGTGTACTGTTGTTAAACGCGAGCGCGGCCGAACGTCATTCGGAAATCGAGCGTGGGTTAGTGGTTGAACGCCGATGGGTCACAGATGCGGGTGGGCAAACTATGCGCGTGGATACCGTTGAACTCACTTGTCGGCAATGATACCCGACATGGGTATACCGATGAACTGGCCGAAGTTGTTGATCGTTCCTACCATGGACAGCTTCCATTTGTTCTCTTCGCACATGAGTCCGAACTGAAAACGGTACAATAATAATACATGCTAATTGACTGACAACAAAATATGGACGCGTTGTTGACGGTTGTCAAAAAAAATCAACGGTCCTACGTGCTGTTTTACACTTCCGATAGATGTTTCTTATTATTCTTGTTATTATCGTCATTATTATTATATGGAAAACGGAATCCGTATAATATCCAGGAGATTTTTGTTTCGTCCTACGTTTACGGTTCGTATCATATATATCTTTGGTCCGAGTGGAAGGGTCTGTTGCTTCAATGCGATACAATGTTATATTTATATTATTGATTATTATTTAAATGAATAAAAAAAAATTGCAATAGATAGCAAAACGAATGTAATGATTTTAAATACAATGATATTAGCGATAAAAAGAAAAAAAAGGAAAAGTAGATAACACGTAAAAAAAATTCACGATTATACTAATCTAATCTATGTAATATGTATTATTTTTCACTATTGAACTTTGTGCAGCTGTGAATTGAAAATATCAAGAAAAAAAAAGAGAGTAGTAGTGCTCCAACGTTTCGAACGGAAAATAATAATATGTAAATTATAACAAATTATTACTTCGACTGATGTTGGCGGTGTTTGGCTTGGAACCATTACAATTTTTATGATTTCGGTTTGGGTTCTTGATAATAGAAGACTAAAGTTTCGGTTATATACGGTTTTATAACGGGGGCTTATTATTTTTCACAACTTAGTAAAAAGTATTATTTGATACGCACTTTAATGTGAAGTATTTCTCTACCCAATTATATAAAAAAAAAAAATCATAATTTTATTATAAAAGCACAGCAAGTAAATGAGAATTTAGGAATTGAGTTGGGTATCAAATACAAAAATTCGTAAGTCAATTAATTTGATGCGTTTTGACATGTATGATACTCGTGTACAACTGTTTTTATTGAACGAATCACATTTACCTTTATCACTAGAGCAGTCGAAAGTCGAAATAATGATCCAAATTCACACCAACATATAACAGTCAAAGCCAATAATATTGTTATAATAAGAATTATTTATACTCTTCGGATAGGTCGAATTAAATAGTGCTTTGTACAAAAAATGATTCTGGTCTAACGGGGAGTCGAAGAAAAACTACATTTTATTTATCATAATTTATGCGTATGCCTATAATCGGTAGATATTTCAGTTATTTGTATTGCATTTCTTTCATTTTTTTTTACTATTAAGATTCTGGTTCCAAAACCGGTACTTTTCAGTTCGGTTCCAGTCCCTGGTAAAACGTCCGGCAAATCGAACAACAATAATAGAACAAGGTTACCGTGGTTATTTTGTTGATCAAAGACGGTTACTACTCGTAAGTCCTCTAGATTCTGGATTCGTCTCCTTCCCCCCTCCCGATTTCGAACACTTTGTTGGTTCTCTGAATAATACGTTACCGGAATAAATCATGTACACATTATCGTGTTGATTTTAATATACTTTTTAAATTACCTTTTAATTGAATTTTTTATTTTCCGAGTCAGTTTTTAATTGAATTTTATTATTCTGTTTCGAACGGTGAATCAAAACGAATATCATTAACATCATGCAACGGTTACGTACCTCTGTGCCGATGGTGTTTTCGTAGTTTTCGAACACCCACTGGTCCCCGCAGTGTTCAGTCACTTGGCCGTCAAATATGTCCGGCGCGCACTGCGTACCGTTGCCCGACCGATCCGTCACTGTGGCGTACCGAAGACACTTCTTTGGCAGTCCCGTGTCCTCCCTGAATGGAGTCGTGTACCGCAACCAGTCCGGTTGGTAAGTTCGTTCCGCCTGCGCCAACGGGTCGCATTCGGGTATCTCGCACCTGAAGCAGACGAAAAACTTATTCGTTCTGTCATGATATTATCCCAGAAACATTTCCCACGACTGGTGTAATAGACAAATCATACCCCTGGAAAATATTACCGGGGGGGGGGGGGGGGGGGGAAGATTTTTTTAGGTATATTTATCCCCGGCACAATTATCCTAAGTTACCCCCGGTAAGATTATCCTAGGAAAGTTGTACCCCCCGGTAAGAACACCTTCTATAGGGTATGATTTGACTGCGACTCCGGGATTTATTAATTTCTTTTTTCGACGACCCGAACAGTCTCATTTTAAGCGGATTAAACTATTAAGCTTATTAAGATTATCGCTAACGCAATCTGTCTGGGACGAGATTCCGCGGGACCGAAGGAAAATTCCGTCCATATTAACATCTGCGAAGTGAACGAAACCATTTACAAATTGTTTGTTGTCGTTCAATCGATTGGAATAAATTGTTAGCGATTTTAATGTAAGACTTTATTTTTATTTGTTCGTATTTGTCTAATAGTGTTTTCTAATAATATTATTAACATTTCAAATTATTTCAAAAAGACCAAAATTACCATTTCATCATCATGATTTGTCTACAAATTTGATTGCAACAAAATTAATCGGAAAACGCTGCAGATCTATGATTATCCAACGGATAAAAACAATGTTCGTCACTTCGTCAAACAATCGTTTATGTGCTAGACGGAGTAAATTCGTGATTAGAAAATTGATGCGGTAAAATAAAATAGTTTTATTAAGACGTTTAACGACTAATAACGTTTTCGGAGTTTTCCATTCGTAGTTTCTTAATTTTTACTCTATTGCATTTATATGATATTTATTCTTTGTTTTCCCTTACTTTTGCATTTTATAATTCATAAGTTTCGGATTTTAAAGCACAACAAATAACAAACAAACCATACAACTGTTTGAATTTTGTTGTTTTTATTATTACTATATGTTCGAGTTAATATTGTTTAGTTGTAATTTTTGTAATTATTGTTTTTGTAATTTGTTTCATGTTATCATTTTCGTGCGATGCGTAGCGGTGCGTTGCGTATCCGCAGTCCTCGTCGGCGGCTGTGATAAGCCTCCGTGTGCGACCGGCCGGGTACGTAATCGCGCTGTTATCATCGCATGAAAATGTCGTTAGTCCATGTTTTCAAAGTTGTCGGTTATGTTTTGTAAAAGTTTCAAGTCATGCTCTCAGTGCCACAAAGTTCATTGATTTCGAGTATTTTTCAGTTTTGTGCGGTGGCACTGAGGTATTTTATCTTCATTATGGTGTCCGGCGGCCAGAGCCTTCGTGGTAAATGTTGTCGGCACCGACTCGCTCTCGTTTTTGTGTCTTCGTGGTGTGCACATCAAATTTCATTTTTATCAAGTCCGTACGTCCGCAGCCATTTTCATTCAAACCACGTTTTGTTGAGTAGTGTCATTATCGTTTTGTGAATCGACCGTCCGGTAAAGTATCGTTCGAGGCAATCAAATATTGTCCAGCGATTGATTTCATTGTTTTTCATTTTTACCAGCGGTCGTTTTGTGAATAACGTGGTTTTCATTCATTGTATCGTCCAGAGCTGTGGACCGTTGCAGTTTTTTTCGTTGGTGACTGTGCTTGAGCACAGTCGCACGTACCAATTCTGTGATTTATTTTCATTCATACACTGCGGTGTGCCGTAATAGGCAAATGTTTAATCACAGGGTTGGTGCGGTCGCGTGGATGGAATCAGCCATTTCAACATAGTCACATGTGAGTATTGGTTGACCATATTTTGTGTTCGTTGTTGTATAAAGGCGTATTCATATTTATTATATTTATTATTGGTGTGCGCCGTGTGGGCCACACATTATTATTTATATATTTGTTGTGCCGCTGTAGGGCCAAATTGTATTTATTATTATTATCATTATTGAATACTGCTGTGTGCCATTGTAAGCAATTTATTATTATTCATTGTTTATTTATATTGTTGGGCCAACCAGGCCATATTATTGTATAATTATTTATTTTTATTACACTCCCTTAATATTTATATCGTTTTATTCTTTTTATTTAACCGGCGAACAAGCCAAGCTCTCTATTATTGTTGAGCACTTGCCGCGCCAACACTATAGACGTATATAGACGTATTATGATTCCATAGAAAAAAAAAAAAAACAATAAAAAGTATTTATATAAAAAAAAAACCGAAAGAAATAAAATAAAAAAATTGGTTTATTCAGAATCAGATAATGACATGAAATAAATGTATGTATAAAAATTACATTTATATCTATAAATAAAAAAAATAGGCATATATTTTAAAATCCGAGCCCTGTTTATTGGTATGTTGTTAAGTAATCAAAGATTAGTTCCCGTGAAATGTTGCATATTAAAAAAATTGGTCTGATAAAAAATAAATTATATATTTCTTATAACTATGATTATTGCACTTAAGTATCCTGATAAAGCACGAAAACACTGTTTTGCACCGATGTAATGTAATTTTGAACGTTAGCAATATCGAAAACATTAAACAATTCTCTGAAGGTTGAAATTGGGGACAGATTGCACTTGATTTGTAGCGAACATGCATTTTGTTTGGATCTAAAAACGATTTTATTATTTTATCAGGTCAACAGCAACTTATTCAAATACGTGATTGCCTTGAACGGTTTATGAAATTTCAGATAAGTCACCTACGGAATTATGATAAATACGATCTAACAGATGAACGTACCAATTATATAAACGCGTATAAGTTACGAACAATAATTGTTTGTGACTGGTGCATAGTATAAATGTCTTGGTCGAAAACGGTTAGTTTTCAGGAACAGAAAACAAAACAATAAAATATAATTCAAAATTGTTGATATATCAATATTTTGGCTGATAATTAATTTAACTTTATATTAAAATATAATATATATATACTACACTATATATATATACATTTACTCGTATATATCATATAAAATATAAAAACGTTCGATTCTAATAATAGTATAAACCAATTTTTGACTTAAGACATTAACACCAAAGAATTAGTGTACACGAACTAATAAGATGGTTATTTTTTTTTTTTTTTTTGACACCGAACGCCTAAGAAAATTACAAATGTCATCAGAGCTTCGGGGCATTTTATTAATCAATAAATGCGACAATCGTTTACCGAGCATTACGACAGTTATTATCGACATCGACTAAAACAGGACCACTTTTTTAATCGATGAAATGTTCAGTTAAGTCCGGAACAATAAAAACGATATCATCAAATAAACAACTAGCTTCAATTCACCCGGTTAAGTCGATCAAACATGGCCGCATCGCACGTTTTTTTATTAAAAGAAAGTCGACGAACATCTTGCGTACGTTGTGCACGAGAAAAGCTGTTTAAGACTGAAAAGTCAGGCACCGAAGATGCATTTTGTTTTTTAGAAAGTTTTCCCGCTTCTTGATAGTTCAATCCGCAGTGTACGGTGGCGGGATCGAATACATACTTGTATAACTCGATTGCGGTACCCGCCTTTTTACTCGAAAGGCCTATACACCTGAATCCGGACACATTTTTTTTTCAATCGCATTCCCCCAACGAAATTTATCTTAAAATTATTTTCCCCGATGGTTATTGTAGTTGTTGTTACTTAATATATTACATAATATGTTATGGTCTTAATACTATAGTTGCCGATGAAAACGGCCTTTCGAAATGAACAAACAAATATTCAGGCAGTATTTTTGAAATTAATTGCGTAGCTACATTTTAAAATTTTCTAAATGTAAATGTATAAAGAAAAAAATTGGAGACAACTTGCAGATTTATTGACGGGCATTAATTACTATGACTGATAATTGTATTGTGATATTGAGTCTTATATATTGTGCTATAAACTAGCAATTATTCCAAAACCTCAAACTCTTTACTAGGTCATTAAAACCGCACACTTATCATTCATAACCGCACATGTTACATCGTTCAAAACCGCACACATTTTATTAACAATTCTTTCTCCCTGCGTACTTTGCATGTATGGTTCACGTTTCCGTTTCATATGATTCTCATAATCGTTTTTTTTTATCCTGTTATCAATTCGAGGTGGTGTTGCATAGTAAATCGGGGGATATTTTCGTTTTTAACTGTCCGAGCGAGCGCAGCGAGCGAGTGACCCCGCCTGGTTTCGAGGTGCACTCATGTTATTTTAGATAAATGTTTACGTTATTAATACATAACAATGTGTGCGGTATTGAACGTTTTAATTTGGCGGACATATGTAGGATTAAAGTATGAATGTGTGCGGTTTTGAACGACGACCTGTTTTTGAAAGTGTGCGGTTATGAACGACGCTCTTTTAAATGATTAAATATTGTAAATAGAAAGAGGTTTTTTTCTTTTTCGGGAACAATAACTGTGGGGAAAAAGATTAACGTCGAAAAATATTTACGGCATATGAATTTTCGGGAAAAAGGTCATTCGAGAATTTTCATTTGAAAAAGTACCATGCACCTTGAGTACACATTAATTACACACATTTAAATCACATTTTGAGTATGTGTTTATCTTGAACAATCAACACGAATATTTATAAAAGAATAATGACAACGCGCGGTGGTCACTCGTACTGCCTTGCGGACAACGAATATACGTATTTCGGTTCATGTTACAGCGCTAAAGCACGATTTAATCATCGCCTACACTCACTTGATATACAATTTTACTTATGTATATATAATCAACTCGAGTGCGATTGAAAATAATTAAATACCATAAAAATGTGGCGACGTTCTAGAGTGCTATTTTATCGTGGTTTGATGCAATTTTTAAAAATATTTAATAATTATACATATTATTATTAAATTAAATACTTGACTTTTATTGAAATTTTTCGTAATCTTAAGGGTATAATCGGAATATTATTGAACTACATTCAAATGTATTACTGTCGTATGATACTGCATTTATATATTTCTTAATATCCGTAATCAACTCCGCGGTTTATTATAATTTAATAGGTAACAAACTATGCGTTTCGATAATCGGGAACAAGGCTCGTAATCAAATAATAATTGCTCTCATGTATTTAGTCAATACTATTGACAGTTCACATTTATACGCGTTCACGTAAAATGCAAACGCACAAACACAGTTAACTTCATCTAAGAGTAATTGTATAATCGTCGAATAAGAAATCGTTCAAATTAACGGCTATATAAATAATTGTCGCGAAAGTGATATATGATACGTTCATTTTGTCCATTAAAAGAATTATACAAAGTATGATTAATAAAACTTAAAAACAACATCTGTTGACTGTTTTGAATAAAGATCGAGTGCATTTTTTTCATTGGTCTATATTGCAAAATTTCTCAGCCCAATAAATATATATATTCATGTGAATAATCAATCAATAAGCCAATAAGCCATACCAATCGTTTTAAATCTGTACACTTTTTTTTAAATCAGTTTTGTTGTCGGTTCATCAGCTATATGGTCTCTATTTCCACTTATTATTTGTCGTAATAATTGTTGGAATAATTATTTCGGACCATCCGAACGTATATAATGTAATTTATATCGATGGATAAAATATACAAATTATTATAATAATTAAATGCAAACAATTAATAATAATATTATAACTACACCGATGTATACTTGATTGTCGAACATTATTTTTAATGCACCTCTTAAGTAAAAAGAAAATGTAGTATTAATATGTAGTACAAAATAAGTATAAACCGATAATTTTCAGATTTGAGTATTATTGTGACTTAAAACCGATTATCTTTTGCAAGACTTTTTTTATTTATTTATTCAGAGTTTTTTTGTAAACATTTAACACTAATTATAAGCATTAACTTAAGCCAAAATATAAAAATAAATAATCGAATTACTCAGTGATTGCCTTTAGGATAACTGACGAGACGTCACCCTTCGGGAAAATATACGTTAAAAAATCCGGCGACGGACAGTAACATGTTATAAAAACTACTTTGACTCTTGACTTTTTCGATTATATTTTTATTTTCTTGTTAAATTAGTATTAATAATATTCTGTAGCTAAAAATGTTCATCTTGAGTTGGTAGTTTTAAGGGTAACTAAAGAAAGTAGCGGTCGGCGAATTAAAAAAAATGTAAAAAAAATACATAATTTAATAACTGACTTTGGAGATGTTCACCGGACACTGTCCGGATATCCAAAGAACTGCGACCTTTGTTCGATGTACTATCTTTGATTTACCTGTACTTCAAGTCGCCCGAGGTGAAAATGTAAGCGATCGGCGACACATTGGAGTACATGATCATGAGTCCGAACAGCAGACAGCCCACGAACTGGTACCGACCTATGCCCAAGGAGACGAGCACGTTGTCGAGATTCGTTGGTGACATTTTGTGGGTGAAAAACTAAAACGAGTGAGTAGTGAACACGGTGAAAACCGTTGGGAAATCGCGTACCGTAACGGTTGTTGTAATATTTATAGTATAACTGTTACAAGAGGGAGAGAACGGCGATAAAACCTAATCCCGGTCGCGATGACGACTAGTGCGGACAAGCGGTTAGGATAAACGGTTCTATCCTTTGTCTATGTGCACGTCGAATGCGCGCTCAACCATCGAAATCTATTAAGGCCGGAACGATATACCAATAAGTTTTATAGCACATTGTAGGAACACTCGTATTCAATAGTAATAATGTTAAGACGGTATTGCGATAACGGCACTCGTGTACATTAGATCAGTGGTGACCAATTATGTACTATACGTGGTCAGATATGGGATATTCAAGCATCTAGTAAAAAAAAAAAATTGTACACATTTTGTTTAAAATATGTTACGTGCGTGAAATAAAATTTAAATTTCTTTCAATGTTCATTGAAACATGAGTTTTGACTATGCTTTTTTTTTAATTTATAATAAAATAGTTAAGATTAGTAAATAATTAGATTTATAACAATATAATAATTATATAAGGTGAAGTAAAATATTTTCGAGGTAGATGTAATTTCGTTATTATTAGTTGAACGTACATATAATTTTATCAAAAACTGCATTGATCCTTGAAAATACAGTCATTTTAAGCATCAATGCAATTTTCAAAACAATCGTGTGATAGGGAATTACATTATACGTTAATCAAGTAATATTACAAAATTGTCTATGTTACCCAACTAAAATACTACTTAAACACCCTTCCTGACCCTATTAAGATTTACAATTAAAAACGTTGTTAAACACATTTAAAATGTCTGTATCTAATATTCTATTAACTTGAAGGAATTTTTTATTTTTTATTTTTTTTCTTAGCCTCCGATAAATAAAAGGTTGGTCACCACTTACCATACGCGAAAATTTACTGAACACACGAATGTATATGTGCGCGTAATTATGATACGTTATAATGTTGTAAATGTACACAGTTATTACGTGTTACGCATAATATTATTATTATTATTATTATTCTCTAAGAACGCGTTCGAGTATTGTACTTATGAGTTAACTCTCGGGATTTCTAGGAAAATGAGCTGCGCTCGATACAATGTAAGGCAGTGGTTAGTGGAATTGGAATTGGAATCGATGTCGTCGCGCACGATAATCGGTGAGACTCGAGGCCGGACATTGATAGGCGGTGGCGGAGGGATCGGGATGGACCGATATCCAAGCCTCCTTGGACATGCGTATCATGTGGCACGAGTGCCGGCGGTGCGAAGCATGTGCGGCTCGAACAAAAATTATTAAATTTATACTAATTGATTACAATAATTATCGTTGCCTTTTATGTCTAAACGTATTATTATTATAAGTGTTCCTTCTTTTAAGCGTTTATTTCAGATCTAGATATAATTATAAAAACAACAATAATTAATATTGAATTTGAAATTTGCGAAATTTTAAAATGTTCTGTTTTATAACAATTTGTTTCATAAATTGGAATTTCACAATTGTATTAATTGAAAAACTCAAAATTAATTGTTTTAATCTGGTGAAAATATGAAAACACGATATAAAAATATGAAATCGTCTTATTCGCTTTTTTGATGCAAATATTGCTATGGCTGTGTGAAAATCGTTATCGGGATGAATGTATATTATAAATATTTGTATTTATATTTAAAGTGATTATAAGAACTGCTTCGACACTTGTTATAGATGCATATTTAAAATAGTTTAAAAATTGGGTGTTTTATCTAAATAAACATTTTGATTTCCTGTTATAATCTCAGAGTACGTTTTAATAGTTTTATATCCTTCATTTTTTTCTAAGACATATTTTAATTTATCTTTAATTATTTTTCCATTAGAACCGGGAATATTTATAGAAATATTTATACTAAATATTTTTATTTAGTATTTGTTTAGTATTTATACTAAATACCCACCGTGCATTTAAAGTTACATAACATCGCTGCGATATAAGATTTAAGTTACAATATTAACATTACACTAGAACGTTTCCGAAATATTGCCGGGTTGTTTTATTACAACGCTATTCGTAAGTTTTTTCATCAACATCACATGGACATGCCATTTATAGCGTCTTAAGAACAAGTTACTGTAACGTTTCACCGATGTCTCAAATATTGTAAATACTAAAGTAATATATATGAAATAAATCAAGAAACGGTATTACCCGATTCTTGATAATAATATTAATAACTGCTTGCCGTCGCTCATGGGCCATAGTACGGCGTGGGCTGCGGGGCGAGCGCGTTCGCGACTTCGGGTGCACCACGATGTTATATTATCCTTTATTAGTTATTACTACAGTCTACAGTCTACTATACTCTACAGTCTGCAGTCATTTTTATTGACAAAAACTGAAAGACACAACACACAAGCGCATACATTAGTTAAGTACGTCGTTAATGGCATACTATATATTATATTACATATTATTTAATATATATTATATACTATAATTATAGCTATGGCCAATTATAGTAAAAAGGTAAATGAATTTAATTTTTCTGATCATCTACTATATTAACTATATCATAATTGTATAATGTAATATTATGTATATATCTATTAAGGTTATTTCTCTATTTACAAAAAACACCAATAATAATAATCAAATTAATGCGTAAGAAAAATATAAAATACTGGCTGAATTACTCACCTGTGATATATTTTATAATTTTAGATTATAACAATTAATAATCGAGTCTATACATTTTAGATTGAAATGATTCTTATTTGTATTTGTTTGTACTGATTATTAATATTATACAATAAAATAATATACCCAAACCGATAATTATTGAAATGAATATACTAAAAAAAAAAAAAAAAAACAAATTATTTCCTGGGTAACCGAAAATTGTAGATATTTTGATATAAATTGTAGATCCAGACAAAACATTTGTGAACTCTTTAAAATCTCTTTTCATTGAATAATATTAGTAGTATACGGACCACTAAGTCAAAAATCATAAGTTTTAACGTTTTTCATATGTAACCATTAACAATGTAATTAACAAGTAATAGTGTCCATAAAACAATAGTTCAAAATTAAACGCGGTAATGGCAATAATTTGTTAGGATCGTGTTGGGATTTTCCAACATCCGGCTGTGTGGCGAGTTCACCGTTTCTCTTTTCGCCAGGCAGATCAGACCCAGCTCAAACGTTTACTTACACCTAGGAAAACTTAAATTTTGCCGGCCCCTATGTAAATACTATATAGAATATTATTTTTACATAAACAATAATAAAAGAGACCTAAGTCTGAGTTCATTATATTAATTTATGTAAAGTTAACAATTTATTAGATTAATACATTTGTGGATAAGTAAACCACTACTAATTTAAATACAACAAAACAGTTCTCTGAGGCTTATTTTTTATTACACATAATATGATACGAGTAGGTACTATTAATATTTGTATACATAATTTAATGCTGCTCTAGGAGTGGGCATATTTCACCTACCCCTCGAACCGGGCCTGAAGCATATGTATTCCGTGGCAGTTTACAGTTTCGGAGTCGCATTACCCACCCGTTTGAAAGCAGTCCGTCCTGGCTAAAAAAAATAATTAAAATTAAAATTAATTAAAATAAAAATTAAAATAAAATCATTTTGCACACTTGGAATTTACAATAATAGTATATTATATATATTTACACTAGTCCTAAACATTTTGAAAAGTTCTTAGGTTTAATATTAAAATTAGTTAAGTTTATTTTACGGTCTTGGTTCGGTCCGGTCACGGTCAAGGATTATGATGTACAGTTAATACTACTACTAAATTATCTGATATTTTTTTAATAAATGAAAATGATATCAAGTTTAAATTTATTTATATTCCTATGTCTAATGATTAAGCAATTATATCATTGTTATGTCATGAAATATTTGAAAAAATTGAAAATTTATATTGTAATTTTTTAGTTCCTATGTTAAAAGTTTCAGCTTTTCAGCTATGATTCATTATAATGAATATATATATACATACATGTTTAAACTATTAAGTAATTGACTATTTGATTTTTCTAAGCTTGTGAGTTTTGTAGATAACCCAGATAAATATAATTTTAAAAATCCTAATTAACATTTAACTACATGTAAAACTTTACGTCGTAGTTATATTTTTTTTTTTAAATCACTTTGGAAGTAATAATTTGTATATTTTATCACATGAAGTATACAAAAATTGCAATAATTGCAAACAATTGTAAAATTGTTGAAAATTGCAAAAAATTACATTATTAAATTAAATAGGAAGATTGTAATTAATCTGATTCGTATACATATTTGATCAGATTTAATTTACTGGGTATCAATAAAAAGTTGCAATATCAATTAAATCCGCTCTTTAGCTATAACTATATCTTAAGCGATCTTATATTGCTAATTTAGTTCTCGTCATTATGTCACGTTAACATTCATCCAATAATAACTAATATTATGGATGTTATGTGTGTTATAAGAGCATTGCGATCATCATAAATAATATTCACGTACGTCGATGATATAATACTAAAATTATGAGATTAGTAAGGATTTTATGCTACGTTGGCGAAACACTAAAGATTGAAAACTAATCGAGTTTGCTGTGAAAATGGTTTTAAAAACTGTTAAGATAGCGGATTCTTGTAATAGTATTTCGTTCGTCGTCTTTTTTTAAACATTAAAGTGCAATCATCATACTCAAAAACGGTTCCAAGCGAAGACCTGTACAATATAGATTTATTTTATTTATCTATTTATAGTTTATTTTTGCGTCAAATAAAAATTTAAAAATATTACAAACTTTGGTAGACATGGTTACACATTCATTCCCTGTTACTCTGCAAGCCTGTAACATGATTAGGATGTGTTACGAATTTATTACGTTATGTGTATCTATTGAACTCTTAAGTTGTTCGAGTAACACAAATATTTTGCTTACTTTTCATCAGAAGTATAAAAAATCCCGGGACTGGATTCAATACAGGTAATAGACGTATGCTTTTTGTTGTGTTATAATAATCTGAGTTAATAACCTATTTCAATACGATTTCATTACGCTTGTTTCAAGAGCAAATAATAACATTATGTTTAATAAATAAATCTTAAAAGTCACATTGTATTGTTGTTTTAATATTAATTAATACTAATTTTTAATACATATATAAAAAAATAAATAAATATTTGAATAGTGTTAAAGCTGTTG